TACCTGATTAAGAAGAAAAGTAAAGTGATCAAGGTATTTTCCAAATATAAATCTATGTTCGAAAGAAAAAGTGGTCGAAAGATAAAGATTCTAAGGACTGGTGGTGGTGGAGAGTATGTGTCGAAAGATTTAGATGCATAATATGAGAAAGAAGGGATCATACATGAGGTGGTGTCGCCCTACACTCCACAGCAGCATGGAACTACAGAAAGGAAGAATAGAACCATCATGAATATGGTGAGCAGTATCTTGAAAGGCAAGCATCTACCCAAAAAATCATGAGGAGAAGTTGTGCCGAATGCAACATACATCTAAAATAGATGTCTGACGAAGAAGTTTGAAGGAATCACACCAAAAGAATGTTGGTATGATGTTAAGCCTAGCCTAAGTCATTTGAAGGTGTTTGGATCTAAAACACATAAGCATGTGCCAGATCAGTTTAGAAGAAGGTTGGATGACAAGTCGAGTCAAATGATCCTAATAGGATATCATTCGACTGGAGGATACAAGTTGTTCGACCTAGTGAATAAGCAAATTGTGATCAACAGGGGCGTGATCATAGATGAGCTTAAGGAATGGTATTGAACTGAGAATGTTAAGAAGGATTTAGTGAGAATCTTATGTGAAGAACCAGCTAGTGAAGTCAAAAGAGAAGTTTGACAAGAAGAAGTCAGAGGTGAAGCAGACCCAACCAGACCTCAACGAATAAGACACATGCTTACAAGGTTGCAAAAATGTTTGATTACACCAAATGATATGGTCGATGATGAAGGTGAGCTAGTATATTATACTTTCTACACAGATGTTGAACCAATCAATGCAGTTGAGGCATTGAAAGATTTGAAGTGGGTGAAAGTAATGAATGAGGAACTAGAGTCCATCAAAGTCAACAACACTTGGTCACTTATCGAATTTCCTCAAGGCAAGAAGGCAATTGATGTGAAGTGGGTATACCAGGTGAAGTTGAATCTCAAAGGAGAATTAACTCGACACAAGGCAAAACTTGTAGCAAGAGGATTTCTTCAGAAGGAAGGAATCGACTTCGACAAAGTTTTTGCACCTGTTGCTAGAATCGAAACAATCATGTTGGTCGTTGGTCAAGCAAACTTGAACAATTGGCACATATGTCAGATGGATGTAAAATGTGCATTCTTGAATGGCCCATTAGATGAAGAAGTTTATGTTGCACAACCAGCTGGATTTGTGAAACAAGGCGAAGAAAGAAAGGTGTACAGACTGCATAAAATCCTGTATGGACTTAAGAAAGCTCCAAGAGCTTGGAATAAGAAGATAGATAACATTCTAAAAGAGAAGAAATTTGTGAAGTGCATAACTGACCATGGAGTATATGTAAGAACAAACAATAGTGAATTGCTTATACTACGTCTCTATGTCGATGACATGTTGATAACAAGAAGTTGCAAGAAGGAGATCGAAGATTTCAAACATGACCTAAGTGAGGAGTTTGAAATGTCAGACTTGGGAGATCTCTCATACTTCCTTGGTATCGAGTTCTACAAGAGTGGTAGAGGTTTGATGATGCACTAAAGAAGACATGCAGGCGAAATACTCAAGATATTTGAGATGCAAGATTACAACCCAACTTCGATTCTAGCTGAGCCCAGAATGCAACTATCGAAGGACATAGATGAAGATGATGTCGATCCAACGCAGTACGGAAGACTCATTGGATCACTTCGATATCTTTGTCACATAAGGCTTGATCTAGCATACAATATAGGTATGATATGTATATTCATGCAAAAGCTAAAGGTATCACACTTAGCAACGACAAAGAGGATACTAAGGTATCTGAAAGGGACTTTTGACTACGACATTTTATTTCCTGCAGTTGATGAAGGGAAAGAATGCAAGTTAGTGGAATACACTGACTCAAGTTGGTGTAGTGATGTCGAAGATAAAAAATCCATAACTAGCTATGTGTTTATGCTAGGTGGTGCACCGATTGCTTGATGTTCGTGAAAGAAGCCAATAGTGGCATTGTCGTCATGCGAAGCAGAATACACAACTGCTTCTATTTGTGCATGTAAAGCAAAGTGGATGGTGAATCTGGTTGAAGAGATTACATCGAAGACTTATGGAGAAATTATCATGAAGATTGACAACATGTTGTAAGTACAGAGTATGCCTAAGAGGGGGGGGGGGGTGAATTAGGCTTTAGGGACTTTTTCCGGTTTTTCGGTATTCTTGAATTTTACTTCTTTAAGAATGTTGGTGATGAAAGCGGTAAATGCAAAAAAGGAAAGAACACGGAGAATTATAGTGGTTCCCCTCACAATCCGAGAGTACTCCACCCCCCTTTCAACATGAAAGAGAATTTACTATAGTTTTAGAATTGTACAACCTATCATACCATCAACCGGTGATGCCTACTTTCTAGCAACTATACAATCACAAGTGTGCAAGAACAATCCTCCTGCAGACACTTACCCTTGTGTCCAACAATCCTGGATCACAAGTCACAACACAGACAATTCTGTAATTCTTGTTTTTGAGAGTAATAAGTAATAATATCAATACACAGATTGATCTTCTCCTTTAATCAGAACTCACTCTTTAGTATCAATACAAGTGTTCAATGCTATGGATATGAAATATATGAACAATATGAACACTTTGAGAAAATTTGAAAATATTTGAATTTGAGTGAATTTGATTCAATGAATATTTTGAAAATTATTGGAGGTGTTTTTCAATTTTGAAATAATCAGAATTTATATGAGCCAAAACACCATTTCAAAAAGGTATAATTGAGTATGAATAAAAAGATGGAAAGGTAGAACATTCAAACAATATTTGAACTTGAAAGGAAGCAATTTTTCAAAATACGTTCAGTGTTAATCGGTTAACACTGTAACATTAGCTCAAAGAATTCAAATTTTAAGGGCGTTAACCGATTAACCCATATGGTTAATCGGTTAACACTATAAAAACTTAGAAAAATATTTATGTTTTAAGTGTTATACCAATTCTAAAGAGTTTAAAAACATGCCAATGCAGTATGCAAAAAATTATGGATTGTTTGAACACTTGTATATCAAATTAAAGAGGGAATTTTGATATACCAGCCTTGTGTCCAAGTCTTGACAGATGAAGAATAACTTGCACAGCAGCTTGACTTGTAAGTTATAATTGCATAGACTTGGTCAGTTTGAAAGCCTTGACTTTTTGCAATCATGAAGTGAGCTTGAGTTGAGTTGACATCATCAAAACGTTGAGATTGAAGTATGCTTGCTTCTACACATGTCAACTATCAATCTGGTGAAGAATCCAATAGAACATGGACGAAGCAAGCACATCGAAATGAGGTTCCTTTATCTTTTAGAGCAGGTAGCAGAAGTGAAGATGAACTTAGAACACTGCAGAGTTGAGAATCAGATTGCAGATATCATGACAAAAGAAATGCAAGTCGAAGTGTTCAAGAAGTTAAGGTTTATGATGAATATGCGTTGAGAATGTAATTTCTTGTGTCGAAGTAGGTATAACTCAACATAAGCAAGAATGTGTCGAAATTAGCCTAGTGTAGTGTGTATCGAGTAGAGTTAGATGTCGAAGTGTCGAAGCAGGTTGCTTGACACATGATTTCGACTTAGACCAAAATAGAAATTTTGGGCTTTTGTGTTTTTGGGCTTTACTTAGGGAGTAAGGTAGCTCAATTATAAATAGAGGGAGTAACCCCTATTTTGTGTAAGAAAAATAGATAATAATATTGTAACACACAACATAAAGTGCAGTTGTGTAATCGAACAATATTTTCTCAGTTTTAGAGCTGAAAGTTACTTTGCATAATTCATTTTCCTCTTTTCCCATTTTGTCAAACCCTAATCTTCTTTATTTTTCATTTTTCTTTCTTTCTTTTTCCATTAATTGCTGCGCAGAATCATTCTTGCAATCAAGGTGTGATTGTTTCACTTGAGTAAAAAGTGAATAAGAGATTTTGATCGGTTGATTGAATCTTGTTCATGATGATTGATTTAGAATTTCTCAAAGTTTTTGCGTTAATTCCAACAAAACAATCTCAAAAAATTACATATATATACATTTTAAATATTTCAATAATAAAGTACTAATCAAAATATTAAATCATTGATCATATATATTTAATATTCTAAATTATTAAAATTAAATAATAAAGTAAATAATAAAATAAATTAGGTGACTTCAGGGCGAGTACTAATATCCACGTTACCAAACTCATTATCATATTTTGTAATTAGAGAGAACTCAAATTCACAGTTTTTTCGTTATGAGTGACTTTCAAAATATCACGTTATCATGCATAGTTCTATCCAATACCACTATGGTCCATGAAATTCCCTCAATCTAATCTAAGACTATGATAACTTATATTTTCTTCGTTTCACAATGAGTGATTTATTTGACAATTTCATATCGATTAAGAATAAATAAATAAATAAATAAAAAAGAATGATATATTTATTAAAATATCTTTATCAAATATTAAAAATGATGAAAGTAATATTAATTATAAGATATAATTGAAAATTTTACATGGTAAATTGAAATGAATCATTTTAAAATAATTTTTTATTTTAAATATAAAAAAAAACTCATATAACTAATTATCAAAAATCAATATCATTGTGTAAAAAAAAAAAAATTCAATATCTTGAACACTTTATAAAGTCTGTCTTTAGAAAGAGAATCTAAACAAACTTAACTCCACACGCAACCGAACCACTGCTCGCGCCAATGCCGGAATATTTACCTCCACCGTCAGGTTCCGTTCCTCTCTCTCATCTCCTGTTTTCATTCATTATTTGGTTGAGCAGATCTCGTTGATTTTGATCACAAAAGTTAACAAAACTTAGTATTTGTTTGATTCGATCTGGAGATCTTCCAAAGAAAAATAATAAGCAACTTCATCTTTTTGCAGCCAAATCTGGAGAATAATCGATTAACAAGAGTAACACTTTTAGTCTGTTTTATTTTGTGTGGTTTCAGTCAATTTGAATTCAATGGATACTAATAATTTGAGATCTGATCAAGGAGCTGAACCCAATTTGGATACTAGTAATTGGAGAGATCGAGTGGCCCCTGAATCACGCCAAAGAATTGTCAACAGAGTGTAAGCTTTAGTTTTAATACTCTGTCACTGATTTTAACCCTTTTTTTTAGATCATTTTTGCATATAATTAGAGGCAAAGGAAGTATTGTTTAATAATTAAACCATTGTTATTTCATTTTTGTAGAATGGACACATTAAAAAGACATCTTCCTCTTTCTGGTCAAGAGGGATTGAATCAACTTTGGATGATTGCCCAAAGGTTTGAAGAGAAAAATTTTACTACTGCAACAAGCGAGGTATATCTCTAATTAGAAGCCACATGATTGTCAAATTTTAGTTACTAGTATGTAAAGACACATACCGTATCGAAGATTGATAATTTATTGTGGCATTGTCTAATTTTCAGCATGAGTATCTAAGGAAAATATCTTTGAAGATGCTTGCGATGGAAACTAAATTCCAGGGCACTATGGCCACCAATATAACATCATCTTTGGAGATGCTTACACTGGAGACTATATCGCAGGGCAGTATGGCCAACAATATAAATTGAATCAAGTTGATCCTACTAAAGAAATGAAGTTGATCCTACTAAAGAAATGAAGTTGATTGAGACATTGTTCATGTTTCGTTCATAAGGATCTACATGAAATGTTGCATGTTTATTGTGTGCTATGTCGTAAACTCTAGTAAAATAAGTTATCGGTTTGAGTCTGTTTCTTGTATAAATTTGTATCAAATTAACTAAACATTAATTTTGTAAGCAAGATAATCTGAAATGTGTGAATGTAACCGAATATGATTTTGACATTTGAGTTTATAACTATTTGAAATCAAGTCTATTATACAATATCTTTGACAAAATTGTAGATGAAATAAGATGAACTTTTCTTTTTTACACTTTTCAAATATCCAATGCTAGATTAAGTTTTTTTTTATATGAAATACCAATGATCGAAACTACAAAAGTAAAATATTGGAGGAAAAACAAGTTTTTGTTGGATAAAAATCTCAATCACAAGAAAATGCTAAATAATGGAGAGATAGAGAGAATAAGAGATTAACATAGAATTATGATTAAAATATATTGAGAAATAATAAACTTTACAAATATGTGTTACATCTTTTCTATATGAGCATGGTACTAACTAACTAATTTCTAGTTAGTAATCACATGCATAGTTAGTATTAACCACATATTAAATTATCACTAACCACATTAAAATATCAATAACTATTTATTAAACTATCATCAACCATGTGTTGAATTGTCAGTAACCATTTACTAAACTATTAGTAACCATATGTTGAACTATCAATAATTACTTATTGAACTATCAATAACCACGTGACCATTTGAATCACTATTTTTCTCAACACACCACCTTAATTCAAGTCTTCAAAGTATTTTATACTCAGGTGTTTCTTCAACTTCTTAAACACTTCAATTGACACTTCTTTTGTTAACAAACTAACCACTTGATTTTCACTTTTGTAATACCCTAACTTCAATTTTCCTTCACTCACAAGTTCTCTAAAGTAGTGAAATCTCATCTCTATATGCTTGCTTCTCTCATGTGCAATGGAATTTTTGACAAGGTTTATATCATTAATGCCACAATTTCATACTCTTCGTTGCACAACTCCTTCATCAAATTTATCAACCATACAGCTTGACATGAACACATAGATGCTGCAATATACTCATCATCACAAGAAGAGAGTGCCATAACCGATTCTTTCTTAGAACACTAAGAGATTGGAGTTTACCCTTACATAAAGATGTATCCAGTTTTGGATTTTCTCTCATCTTTATCTCCACTTTAGTTTGAGTTGGTATAACCAAGTAATTTGCAGCTTCTATCTATATCTGTTGCAAGAAATAGAATTCTGCAGCCAATCAAACCTTTAATGTATCTAAGAACTTTCTTGACAGCTATCAAATGTGATGCATTTGCCTTCGCCATAAATCTGCTCAGTATGCCCCCACTAAATGCCAAGTTCGGTCTCGTATTGCACAAGTACCACAATGATCCAATATATGGGTGGCAAACGGGCACACCTGCCCCGTTTAGGCCCTCCCCACCAAAGCCTGCAAAAAAAGGTGTGGAGCCGGGCAAATATAGTTTAGAGGGTGTGGGCCTAAATTTTGGTCGACCCCGCACTAAAGTGAGGTCGGGACGGGGTCTATGGACATTGCACATTTAAACCTAAAAATACAAAAATTTATGCAATGTCCACGCTCGCAAAAGTTTGCAAGAAAAATAGGATGGTGCGTGAAGTTGCATGTCCCTAATACATTCAGAGGAGAACCCCAATACAATTTTGTTTCTTGTCTTCTAGCTTTCATTTTGCTTATTATTGTTTATTAATCTCCTTCATGGTTGCACATCTCTTAATAAAGTTTTGAATCAATTCATTTTTTTTAGCATGCATAACTCAATTGTTATATTTTAGCTTGATCATGATGATTTTAGTCAATTGGTCGAGTTAGAGTAACAAGAGTCATATGTGTCGTTGGTTTAAGTTAGGTGGAAAGACAAATCTCAAAGTATTTAGAAAAAACATGAAAAATTGAGATTTCATGTGCATGAATCGAATTATGTACATATTCTGACTCGAATCAAATTGAACAGGGGAAAACATAAAGATTTTCAAACTTTGTGACTTGAATCACAATTTTAACTTAATTCGATTCAAGTAGCTTTGTGACTCAAATAACAAGTTGGACTTGATTCGAATCAGACAAATTTGGTCAGCCTCTGCCTCATTTGATTCAAATCACACTTTATATCATACTCGAAACACACTATTTTCCTAATTTTTTTATTTGGCTTTAACCAAATTGAATCGAATCAACATTTATATCTGATTCAAATCACGAGCCTTTGTGACTCGAATCAGAGATATAAGGTGACTCGAATCACACGAAACATGGGTCAATTTCTTTACGAGATCTTATTGCACTCTACTTGCTCATTTGACTCAAACATGAAATGTTCTTGACTCGAATCAAACTAATTTTTTTCATCCATTTTTGTGCTTAATCTCAAGCGCATATAAATTCATTTTGTGATCTCATTTTAAATAGAGAAATTTCATAATCTACATTGTGATTTTTTTGAAATCAACAATGAAAATAGATTTTCTTTCATCTTCAACCTCTAGTTTGGTTTCAGATCTTGATAATGAGAGATTTGTAATTGTTGAGGAAGACGTTGTCTTGAAACTAATTGTTCTTGAAGGTTTTGTAAATATTTTCAAGAAGTTTTCTAAATTAAGGTTGTTGTCATTAGTAGTGAAAAATTCCAGTGAAAAGAAATACGTTCTTCTTTCCAGCTAACATTGGTAGTGACTGTGTGGAAGGCTATAGGTAAGGTGGCGTTCTTCTCAATATTCTGACAGTTCACCATTTAAGAAATAGGTGGGATCAAAGGGAGATTGACACACACAAAGACCGTGAGCAGATTCATGAAGCTGGAATATTCAAGAAACGAGAATTGAGTAAAGATTTTACAAACGAGTTTGGCGTTAAGTTGTATACAAGTTAAGATCCATATAGGAATTTTATTTTTTTCAGTGGATTAGTGATTATATGAACTCTTGCAATATTTATCAAAACATAGTAGAAGAAAACGAGCTCTAATGGGAAACTATTGAAGAGTAGATTAGACTCTTGCGAGGACAATAGAGTTGAACCACTAAATATCCAGATGTACTCTCTCTATCCCTCTTGCATTTTAATTTTTGTAAGATAATTACATGCTTAGGTTATCAATTCTTAGAATAATGTATCATTTATTTTAGTTGATAATGATTTATTACGTAAGGTTATGTTTTGTTAGAATTGGTACCTAATTGATCTTTAATACTAATTAAACTCTAGAAAGTTAATGTTGTTAGAATTCGGTATTAATTGAATCATTGTACATGACAAATCTCGTGTAATCTAAAATTAGTCAATTAATCATTGTCTTTGAACAATCTGTGATATTTGTGAGTTGTGTATTTGTCAACGTGATTGAATTCCAATACAAGCATAAGATCTCTATTTTTGCTTTAAGACTTAAGCGTATTATTGAAAAATCTATGATATTCTATTTGAAGGTTCCATAGTTTAAGGATTGGCAACAATTTTGCTAAAATATGGTTCACAGATGTTGTGTGTGATGCTATAACATGTTGTTCAGCTCACCTTGAGAGTAGATATCCTAACAGATGTTGTAACGTGTTATACCAGAATATTTGTTCTACCTGTTTTAAATCTTGACAGATTTATTTTAATTTTGTGATACTTCTTTTGGGATATATCTCAGTAATTTTTACAGGTCAAGAAGATTTTATCAAAAACATGTTTTTGTATCTCCAGTTGTACATAGATTGCTAAATTTGGATGATGAGACTTTTTAGGAAACTTTTCCTGTTATTGTGGAGAAGATTTTGCAGATGGTTTAAAATTAACATAATGGAATTGATTGAAGAGTCCAAGCCCATACTGCACGAGTCTATATAAAAAAGACTTACTAAACCTAAAATAATAGAGGTATTATTGAAAAAGAAATTGTGTATGCACAAATAAGGGTTTAGGGTTTGAGAATTCTTTTAGTGTGCTGTCGTATTATGTATCACTCATGTATTCTCTAATACATTGAGGTAGACTTTTTTTTAGTCACTCATTCATCACCTAGATGCTTGAACTGGACTGATGTTATTGAGTTGTAAGTGTCCACTCTAAGATTTTAAGCAAGAGTATATTATCCTTGATTGAAGCTTTTAAGCAAGATTAAGTATTGTCTTTGAAGTGTGTCTTCTTTGATGTATTGTATAGTCTATCACTGTTATTTGTGACTGAAAGGAAGTGAGAGGCGATTCTCATATCTAGGAGTGTCTTAGGTAGATAATACACTGGGTATGGATTAAGTGAGAAGTTTAAATTGAGGTTGTTTAGCTTTGAATTGGTACTACTAATAGTTGATTTCCTTCAAGGCTTGGTAGCCCCTAGACATAGGTGTTATTGTGCACCAAAATGGGTTAATAACTCTTTGTGTTCTGTTATTTTATGCATCTTTAATTGTGTTTCATTTTGTCCTTGTTTTTTTAACAGATATCAGTGTCTCGATATCTCTTAGGACATCTGATATCTGCATACCAGAATTTCAATTGGTATCAGAGCAAGCATCCTGCTCTATATCTGGGTGAGATTTAGGGAAGATACTTTCTAGTACAATAGACAACGAAGGAGGATTTATAAACAGACCACCCATTCTTGATGGAACCAATTATAACTACTGGAAAACACGTATGGTGACCTTTCTGAAGTCTATGGACAATAAGGTTTGGAAGTATATGGTTAAGGGATGGGATCCACCAATGGCTAGAGATAAGAATGGTAAGATTATTGATGTGTTGAAGGCTGAGGAAGACTGAGATGATGAGTATGACAAGCTAGCTCAGGGAAATTCTAAAGCATTGAATGCTCTGTTCAATGGAGTGAACAAGAACATCTTTAGACTGATAAATAATTGTACTGTTGCTAAAGATGCTTGGGAGATT